GAATCTTCGAACGTCGGATCCTAAGATCCATTTTTGGGGGCAAACAAGTTGATGGTACTTGGTACAGACGTTCAAACTCACAACTCTATCGGGCCCTTAGAGAGCCTGAAGTTGTCAAGTACGTAAAAATTCAAAGAATTAAATGGGCTGGTCACATCATTCGGATGAACAGAGAGCGTCCGACAAACATAATCTTTTCGGCTCAGCCCATCGGATCAAGGCCCAGAGGTCGACCAAAGCTGAGATGGGCCGACTGCGTGGAAAGAGACATTTCAGTCTTAAAAGTCTCAAACTGGAAGACAACTGCCAGGCAGAGGCAGGCCTGGAGGAAGTTGATTGAGAAGGCCAGGGCCCACCCGGGGCTGTCGTGCCATTGAGGAAGGAAGGAAGGACATGTTGATCCATCTCAGCTAGATTTGGCATGTGACATTTTTAGCGGCAATCATTGGTCGATTTTCTAGCTTTGCCATTCGGGGAGCTGTAATGAGGCTTTTTTTGTCGCCGTTTTAGAGAAATATATACATAGATTTTTTACTTATTTACGTATTTGACAGTGCTTCCTATATTCATTGCTGAATCGAATGAGGTCAAATACGAGATAAATAGCTACGAATTTATTATGATTTTATATAAAAAGAACACTGTTTGATTAGTACTTATTTAAGCATTTGACATTGCTATCTATTTTCATTGCTGAATCGACTAAATGTAAGTTTATAAAACTAAAAGTTTAAAGGTTGCAAGGGTATGAAAAGTACTTTTTTGGCTTTCACGTAACATGTACTTTTGTCTAATGCGAAAAACAACGTGAAAGAAAACATAATTTAGAGCAGAAAGGGACACACTATAGTTTAGTTTCACCAAACAAGAACCTTTTACAATGTCTAATCATCCTATGATCGTAAAAAATAAAGAGATAAACACGTGCAAAATAATTTAATCAATGAGGACAAAGGAACAAGTTTGAAAAAGATAGTAAAAAGTAGAGTGATAAGTGTTGCAATGGGAAACCCAGGGGCAAAAGATTAAAGTAAAACAGATTTCCAAACATTGGTAAATGTTCGGAAACTACAAAGATCATTAATTAAATTATTAGAATTTTTCAAAATATAAAATTATTCTCAGAAATCAAGTTCGGTAGATGAAGAGCAGTGTTGAATGATTTTAGCAGACGAAAATTCGAAGATATAATTAGAATTCCAGCTATAAGGCAAAAAAAGATTATTTAATATTCAAATTTCGGACACATCCTTCAAGTTCTTTAAATAGGTTAATGTCTTTTTTTGTCTGAGATACGCTTAGTTTCCCTCTATACGCAAAACCACAATGACAAGAAAATTTGATAACTATCCCAGCTATTACAATCAGAAATTGGGTCTTTAAAGTTGGTGAAATTAAGTTCAATTTGATTTTTTGCCCCCGGAATTTCCAACACTACACATGTCAATTGCTCATGTTTCGTATATCCCCTCTCATTATAATCTTGTTCAAGTATGTTCCTTTGTCCCTGTTAGTTAAACTATTTAGCAGGTATTTATTTTTACTTTCTACTGTCATATGGTGTTCAAACAATACGGGTTCCTGTTTAGAGAACCGAAACTATAGCATGTCCATTACTTTATGTTTTGCGCTTCCCAAGTCAAAATTTTTGTTGGTCCCATCAAAAAATTTTGATGGTTTTAGGGTGATTCATGATGATCCAGCATCATTTGATGGTCACCATCATCCAGCATTTTATATTTTGCGTTCATGGTTTTTGATGTGTAAGCAAATTCCATCATTCCATGATGGAAAAGGCTACTTTATTACTATGATGGTTAACCATCATAAAAGGTTTGATTCTCATGAGCCAGCAATCCGTGATGGTTCTTGATGGTTCCAACTATACATTTCCATGATGTTTTAACGGGAATTCTTGTTGATTCTCAGGAATCATAGCATTTTTTTGAAATATTGGACAATCATAAATCAGTCCGAATTCCTACATTGGGATGATGGTTGTTCATGATCGTTTCAGCATTTTATTTCTAAGAAACTATGATGGAAATTTGTGATGGTCCATAATGGTACAACAATGCATTTCCATGATGGTTTAATAATAGTTATTGTTGGTTCATCAGGAATATGCCATTGAACAATTTGTTTTTAATATTGGACCATCAAAAATCAGTCCGAATTCCTACATTGGGGGTGATGGTTGTTCATGATCGTTCCAACATTTGATTTCTAAGAAACTATGATGGAAATTTCTGATAGCTCAACATAAACAAACCATCAAGACAAGTTGCTATTCTTATGTTGAACCATCATAAATCAGTCCGAATTCCTACATTGGGATGATGGTTACTAATGTTTTATACCATCAAAAATATAATAGTTCATGATGGAATTATTGATGGTTATCATCAAGATTATATCTGTTCATCAATAAAAAACCATCAAAAATTTTGACTTGGATTTTTTTATTTTTTTTCTTTAATTTACGAGGCACAAAGTATGCAGTTTGAACTTTTGACATTGCTTACTGGTAACTATTTCGATCAGTGAGGCACTCATTACGTCATGTGTATTATTTACACGAATTACACAAATTTTTAAAACCAATATTTAAAAATGTATAGTGATTTCATTTGCGAAAGTACTATAATTGACTCATACCTTCACACGCATTTGACATTGCAAGGCGAATTAAGCACTGTCTTCTCAAAATTCAATACGACTCGGTACGTGAATTGAGTTTCTTAGTTTAAGAGTTTCTAGAATTTTTATGTATAAAAAAAAATGTTTTTGACTTTACCTAATAATTTACACTTCACTTTGAAACTATTTATTCTATAATCCTATTTTAATTATTGACATAAATATTTCATAATATATAATGTTTAACTTGTCTAGATGCTTTCAAGGTAGTGTAAAAAATAAACATACATGCAAAAGTATACATTACACTTTTTAATCGTAAGAACTCTTGTACTAATAATGTCATTGACTCTTATTTACTCTCATTCTATTTAGCGTAAAAAATAAATAAGAAACAATACTTTGCTTGTCTAGATACCTATGTATAAAGGTAGCAACCTGACTCTGTTTCTATACTTAAAATCATTATGAAGTCCTCTCTATTAGTTCTATTGTCTCTCATTTTATTTTAGTCAATTCTCCTCAATTTAAAAAAAAATTATGGAGAACCATACCTTATATGTTTAAACAGCAGTGTGTGTCTTTCACCCTTTTTCTTTTACCCCTTTCGACAAAACTCTATGTGGGATGTCATTAACTTTTCACCAACTACTATGAGAAGGGCAATTGAAAGTAATCTCAGATTTAAACTTCTTTTTTTTTCTTCATGGCCAGGTTTTATCAAGTTGAGCTATCTTTACTGCACTATCAGCAGTTTTATTTCCATTTAAAGAAACTTTTTCGTAACCACAGCAATTCAGAAGTTGTATTTTTTTACGGGGGGGGGGGGCTAAAATAATGATGAGCAGAGTGTCTCAAACTACAACTTTTAAATCTTGGTGATCTGCTGTAATCATCTACAGTAATACTCCTAGTTCAGGTGAAAAAAATCATTGCTATGTGTGAAGAGTGGATCAGTAAAGTCACTGAACAAAATATAAGTAAAGCATTCCCGCAGTAAACAACTATCGACCCTGGAGGAAAGGACGATACGTAGGCAATTTCGTGACCAGCATTGTGCACCGACCGCTTTTACTTCCCATGGTTGCGAGTAGAATTGAAGTTGGTTGAGCTTCAAGATGCAAATGGAATAGAATTCCTGTCCTTTACTCCTTATATGTAACCTCAGTCCCTTAACCTGTGTGACATCACTGGGTCTTCAGTCGAAATAAACTTAATAGCTTTTTTTTAACAACAAGTGGCCTGCGCCCCCTGCTCGCTAACGCTCGCCAACACCCGAAAATTGCTGCGCAATCTTATATGGTTTGCTTCTCGTACCAAGATCGTTTCGCTCGCTACTAACGTAGGTACATTGCAAATGCACACAATTCTAAGAATTCAAAACAATCATTAAAATCCATATAAAAAAAATTAAAAAAAAAATTATATCTTTTTAGTAAATACTAAGTCATTAAAATAAATTTGAATTCAAATAAATGACATGTAATTCGTTAAACCTATTAGAAATGTGCTATAGTATAATTCGTAATATAAATCAAAAATCGTCAAATAAATTCGTAATACATAAATTCGTGAAAAAAAGCGCTTTCGCCAAAATACTAAAATAGAGATCTATCGACAAACACTACTCACTTCTGCCTAGCTTAATGGTATGAGATTGCCGCAGCTGATGCTCTCTGGTTATTTCAGTTTTTAAAAACGCTATATGTTGAGTCACCTCAGCTAGATTTGGCATGTGACATTTTTAGCGGCAATCATTGGTCGATTCGCCGTGAAAGAGAAATAGTAACGTAAACAAAACAAAGCAAACGTTGCCACCGGCGGAAAAGAAATACAGCCAAAATTTGGGAGCCACGTAAGAGAATTATATATATTAGATTGCGTATTACAAATCTTGAAAAATGAGAGGAAAAGAAGATGTTTTGGTAGAACTATCTACCCAAATCGAGAAGTTAAAATATTAAAAAAATAAGAAAAGAATAAACAGTTTCTTTTAAACTATTAAATATCGAAAGTTTATAAATATATATGAATTAAATCGACTTTTTACAGTTGTTGTTCGTAAATAGATCGTATTACGATACGTTATGAATCAAGAGCGAGAGAAGAAAAAAAAATTACTGACTAAATTCTTCATTCCATTTATTACGACCACACAGTTTGCTTATTTTCTTAAGTTTAACAACCTACGCTTTACGTTCCCCCATGCCACCCCTTCTGACGAAAGCGAAAACAAATAAACTTTGGGAACAAAATAATCATCCCAGTGGACGTCTTTTCCTGCAGCCTATGGGAAAGTTCAGCGCATCCCTCCTACTCCCCCGACTCGTCACCCTCCAGGACTTATAAAATGTTCGCCCTGCCCTGTCACCGCCCTCAATACTCTCCTCTGTCGCCTGTTGCTTCTTCTCATTCATTCCTTTAACGCTGCTCATCTCACCCTCTGCATTCTGAAGGGAGCTTTCTCCATCAATTTCTGCACTACATTCTAAGAACAATTAAATAGAAACAAAGTTAGATTTATAATTCTAAAAGAAGATGCTGAAGATCTACATCGTCGCTTTTGTTATCGTGGCCTGGGTGTGTGGGGAGGCTGCATCGGCCTATCTGAAGGCTTTTGAGGAAGGAGAGGCACCAGAGGTTAGCTATTTATTCATTATTATTATTAATAATAGAACAGTATATTTTTTAAATTACCGCTAAATTACTTGATATTAGATCACTGACTCTTGACTATTTTATACAAAGACCATTATCTGTATTACCAAATGAAATGGCGAATCACATACAATAAGATGGATGTAGAATTATAAAGGTCTCATACACTAAAATACCCTGCCAAATTATTAAACACACTATAAAATTCTATGTAAAATCTTAATTATTAGGTGATACTGTACACATTTATTATTTTTATGCAGCTGAAACCGGTTTGCACTTGTTTGGGTTCGTGTATCAATTGTCTAACATTGTAAAACAATACGTTAAAAATAAATACAAATAGGAAGTACATAAATCTCCCGAATAAAAGCTCATTACATGTATCTTTAAATATAAAAGTATTGCATATAAACTAATACAAAACAAGTAATTATAAAAAAACTACAGTGAGTCTAATAATTTAATCTAATTATTATAACAGGCTAATATAATACCTAATATAATAAATATTCTATATTTTTATAACACATCAGCTAATTTATCCGATCGTCGAATTTATATTACATATCGTCTAATTTAAACAATTCATACACGAACGTAAATAAGTACAAACCGGTTTCAGTCGCTTAAAAACAATAAAGCTGTGTAATATCACATGATAATTAAGATTTTACATAGAATCTTATAGTGCGTCTAATAATTTGGCTATGGACTATAAATATAAAACTATATTAAGTCAACTAATGAGTAGTTTATTAATGTGAATGTTATAGTTATGTTAGCCTTTTTATGTTAATGAAAATAGCGAAAGTATAAATAAAATAAAATATGGATTATGAAACACTGTCATACTTCATACTTTTGTACTTATTGATTCATAGAAGAATCAATAAGCACAAAAATCCATCATTTCTTTCAAAAAATATTTTATCAAATGTATTATAATATTTTATCAAAAATATTTTATCAATGTGTGCTTTTAATTATTTTCAAACCATATTTTTTAGTCATTTGAAAGGCACGTGCATAATTTGTTTAAATTAAGCAAATCTTAATATTTTCTTTTATTATTATTATGGTTTAAGGCTGAAATATATAGAGATGAGAAATCAATGTTTTAAAGTAGCATTTTTTCTTGGATTATTTTTCTATATAAATTTTTTCGCGTTGTATAATTCATGTTAAATATTAGGTAATTTTATTTTACATTGAATGGCGTCGTCCCCTTAAGTTCTTTTCTGATAACGGTTGAGTAAATATACATATCCATAGATTATTTAGAAATAATTACAACAATGATTATTTTACTGTTAAAGGGTAAGGACAAAAATAATGATGCATTAAATGGAAAGGAATTGGTTTACAATAAATTTATAGTGTGATTTTTCTGAAAAAATTCCTTTTCTATTCCAAAAAAGATTCAACATAACAGGGTTTTAGAAGAAACTCTCCGACATAGGAATTCAAAATTAACATTAGGTGGATATATAATGGCGAGGGGGAAAATATTTTTTTTTGGCATAACAAGGTTTTCGAGATATCGAGAGTATACTGTATACTTTGTAAGTATTCTTTATAACATATGAGTGTTCTAAAGCAGGCAGGACTCACCTGTTTGATATAAACATATAAAAAAATAATGAATTAAGAGTGACAAATAAAGAAAGGTTTAACTTTGCATATAAACAAACCTTTACCTAACCTTTTACCAAACCTTTACCTGACCTTCGACCTTTAGCTGTTAATTAAAAAATGTAACGATTTTTAAGTATGGGTCGATTATTCTCTAATATTAAAACGATTTTATAAAAAAGCACAGTTAGCACAAACTTATACAAAAACATTTTTTATGATGTTTCATAACTGGAATTTTGATTTCGTATACAATAGATTTTCTAAATAACTTAAGATATTTTATGCACAACATATGATGTTTCATTTATAACGCAAGCCATTTCACGTAAAACATATGATATTTCATTCATAGCATATGATGTTTCGTATGCAAATTATGATGCTTGATGTACAATGTATATTTCAAAACATATTTTGATGAGCACCATAGCAATGAATTTTAAAAAAGTACTCCAACAGTTTGACAGTATGGCAATGTTGATCAATGCCCTATTTGTTTATGTTTTGGGTGCAATTTAAACTTATTTATAATAATTTAAATTAGATATTTGTGCGTATATTATCAACAAACTTGTGCGAGTTTAATTGTTACTTAGCTCTCAGGTACTGTAAAAAAATCGTTAAATTTTTTTTGTTAAAAAATTATTTAGCAATGGAGCGAAAAAGTTATTTTTTATTGCTTTGAAACTTTAAAAAAATTTTTTATTTACAGTTTTAACTGCAGAAGATGTATGAACACAAATTTAATGCAAAATTTAATACGAAAGTAAATATAACGTAAACTGAACTAAATTTACCGATTCATAACTATTAATTTGTAACTACACTGGTTATCATAAATTAAGGAAAATTCACAAAAATCGCGATAACTCTTTCAATTACACATGGAATTTTATGAAACTTACCCACAATATACAACACATAGTAAGGTATTAAACAACATAAAAAGAAATTATCAGACATTAATAGTAGTATAGAAATTAGCACATGTATAAAATAAACAAATTGGAAGTATCGGTTTGCAATAGAAAAAGTACCTTTAATATGGAATATGATTGCCTCTAGAAGCAATACAGCACAAACAGCGATGTGTGATGCTTTCAATTATGCGGTCTATCAGTTCAATAGGAAGTGAGAGCCATTGCTCTTGTAAAGCAGTTGCAAGCGTGGCAAGGGTCTGAGGGGGCGGATTGATGGCAGATACACGCCTCCCTAGAGCATCCCAAACGTGCTCGATAGGATTCAAGTCCGGGGATCGAGCTGGCCACTCCATGCGAGTAATTGTTTCCTGTTGAAGATAATCATCAACAATGCGAGCTCTGTGTGGTCTTGCATTATCGTCCTGTAACAGGAAGCAATCACCAATTGCCCCGGCATATGGGCGCACATAAGCATCAAGGATGTTGTCTCGATAAACCTGAGCATTCACGGTTCCCCTTGGAAAGACATGGAGGTATGTGCGCCCTCCTAAGGATATGCCTCCCCAAACACAGACACTGCCTCTTCCGTATGCATCTCTTTCACGGATGTTTGATGGATGATAACGGGTCCCAGGTTCTCTCCATATCAAATAACGTCTACTGTCACTTTCTAGACTAAACCTGGACTCATCCGTAAAGAGAACAGGCCTCCATTGATCTGACGTCCAGTGGACATGTTGTCGGGCCCACTGCAAACGGTCTCTCCTATGGCGTGATGTGAGCGGCACGCAAATGGCTGGTCGTCTCGCATACAGACCACCTTCGTGGAGCCTTCTGCGCACAGTTGACGTTGACACCAACCTTCCGGTGGCTGCAGCAAGAGAGGATCTAAGATGTGTCGGAGTAGCGGTTCTATTCCTGCGTGCACTTAATGTCAAATATCGGTCATCGGCACTGGTCGTAACAGTTGGCCGTCCTTGACTGAACCTCCTAGATGCCGAATCTGTGGTTTGAAATTGCCTCCAAAGTCTATGAACCACAGATGGACTCACATTTAGCCATCTGGCCACTTCTGATTGACTCTGCCCTGCCTCTAGTCTCCCGATGGCTCTCCATCGTAGTTCTTCAGGCAAATGATGCCTAGAGGTCATTATTACGAATTGGCTATCTCAGATTTTCAATGTCGCAATCACAGTAAAATTTGTGTGCTTTCTCTCAAACTTGGACTTTTATGCTCCAGGCAGATGACGTAAGCCGAGTGCAGCGCCACTAATTTGCATATTGCAATTTTACTCAGCTACTCTTAGTGGACAACATATGCAAATTTTGCACGGTTTGGCTTACTTTTGAAAGAGTTATCGCTATTTTTGTGATTTTTCCTTAATTTATGATAACCAGTGTAAATATCTTCATCATAAAATGTTGCGTAATAAGTCAAATTAAAAACGTAATAATCATGATAATATTAAAAAAACAAGATAAATAAATATTAATGGCAAAATTTAATAAATTGCAGAAGACTGTAAAAGTTACTTAGATCTTCGTATATAAAATATCATATCTTGTGATTTTTTTGTCCAATGGGAATGCACGAAGCGATGATATGACAATTACTTTTTTATGAAATATTGAGCAACAATATATCGATAGAATAATATTTTATATATAAACAAAAAAAAATTGCCTTGAGATTCTAGTTCATCTTTTACACTAGTTCTAGTTCGTCCTTTTGTACGCACTATTAAGTCTTTAAACTAGAAAGATAATTACGTGTTAGTAGTGTACATGCTCCTGGTGTTGAAATTTTCTACCAGTGTTTCTAAGTGTTGAAATTGATTCTACATATTATCTAAGATCTGCTGATTTTTAAATTGACTATCTTGACTTGATCGTCACAATATCTACTAGGCATTCGTTAAAGTGAAAATCTTTGCACAATAGCAACGTTTCGGTAGAATTAAATTAATATAATGTAAATCATTTATTTTTCAATATTTAAAAAATCCAGAGCGTTTCTGCTGTACCGCGCTCCAAGAAAAAAAAATTTCATTGACTAACATTGGCTACATTGACAAACGCAAATGCAGCTATTCAAAATAATTAGAAAACAAAGGAACGCATTATCTATATAACCGAAGTGAAGAATAATATACATTAAATGTAAGTTACACATAATTTTGTTTAATCCACACTATATCATATTTGCACTATTATCGATTCTAGCGACACCTGTTCAAATTATATAAAGTGACGCGGACAGAAAAAAAACATTTTAAAAATAATTTTTAAATATTTCTTAGTATATTTATATATTTTTTGAAATTTCGACACCTATCCTTTGATTTGGCATTAATATCAAACTTCTCATTTGAACCAAAAAATTATGAAAAATCATTAAATTGTCCGACAAATGACCCCTTCAAA